AAGAGGCGCAACCCTCGACAGGCACATCCAGGTTTCTTATAGCAAATAGGGATGCTTAGACTAGCTAAGCGATCCAAGGATTTCTCGTGTATGCAGTCACGTGATAAATCGCATCGCCTGTATCGACAGTCGATGTTAGCGATAGGAGGTCGACTACATCGACAGGTGATGTAGGCGATGTAGAGAGAACGAAGGTTCTATATAAGACTGGCACGTCTGCCATTAGATAGGAGCTTCGTGCTCAACTTAGTTATCAATCTTATCATATTAGTTTGGCATCTTTGATACAAGTAACGAGTTCACTTCCAAGTGAACTGTGAGGGTTGGAACCCGTGATGGAGGCTCGGGCCATGCCCTCGCTAAGCACTGACCAAAGTCCCTGCTCAGCACTGGCCATAACCCCACTGCCAAGCAAGTCTCTTCTATTCTATACTTTTCTGTTCTATTCTCTTGACATAATGTATTTGTTAAGCAGTTTCTCGGAATATTCTAGAAGCTCTTCCTCTCTCTATATATAGAGAAAGAGCTTGTATGTATGTAGTCCGCACGCACTTCTTAATTGAATATTCGAAACCACACCTTTGAGCTATTCGAGGTCTGGCCTCTCACATGAACAACCCGATAGTCTTCTTCTTATCATAGCATACCAACCAGCGAACACCAGCCAAGTTTAGTTAGCCAGTTTGAGTATTCGTTACACTAGGACGGATCTTTAGCGGGTATATATAAAGGCAAGAACAAGGAATATAGGATTAAAGGTAATATAGGATTAGGAACAAACTAGTAGAGATATCAATCTTACGAAACTATCTAAGGTTAAAGCTATTCCCGAAACTAGCGATAAGTATACGCGACCTAGTACTAGTAAGTTAATAACTTAAGAATCACAAAGTTTTAATACCTTTGCGGACTTGTAGCTAAACAACGATAACTTTCGGGGGTTAGATAGGCTAAATCTACTAGTTCCTACCACTTTATTCGACCCTACTAAACCGTAGTTAGTGTCGCCGCGAAGTTGTACTCCCGAAGCTTATAATAATAATGATTTTGACGATTTTTATAACGCAACTCTACTAAGAATTAGCTCGCCGAGTCTACTACTACAACTACTACCTATACCGAGTCTACCTCCACCAAGTACTTCCGCTCGCTCTCAACACTACTCCTAGCTTGTTTTACTCTCTTCTCCTGTTCTACCTTCTTCTGTTCCGCGTACCTAGACGCAAAGATTACTCGAGGACAAGGATAAGGTTATTCCCGTCGCCGATACCCAGAACTCCTTTGAGTAGGATCCTTAGCATCTATAGCGTTATACGTAAGATGCTGACGCTAAGGAGGATAAATTGGAGGTGGATACGTATTACGATTTATTGGATAGCTAAAGGTAGTTTAGTCAATAAAATAAGTTTTCATAATACTAAAAGATTATATATAAATATAGTAAATTTTGACAGCGACAGCAAGGTAGCGACAACAAGGTAGTAATTACGAAGCTTTATAATTAATGTTAGAAGACTGCAAGGGTACCTGGCCACCCACTGTAAAATAGGTGGGGGTCCATGTCACTTCAAAGACAGTTATCATTTTTTCAAAGACAAATATCATTAGGCTTTCTTAATTGTTGCCCCGAAGGACATCTATAATTGAACTAACTATAGTCATAACTATATACTTGTTCTAAGTCTAAGTCTTTAACTATAATACCTATAATGTTCTAATTAGATCTGGTTAGTAGCAGCCCCCCGGTTGAATTATCAAGAGTACTAAAGCTAAACCTAATTTGAACGTTCTATCTCTTAGTTAATATAGATGTTCTCTTGGACCACCATACACGCGACGGTTCACATGCATTGCCAGCTTAGAAGGGAAGGTTCCATAGCCCTCTCCCTATGAAAGAACGACTGACTCACCCTATCAAGGGCGCTGACTAAACAACGCACATGGGGAGTCTGAGGCAGAACGTTGGAATAAGGCCAAGCCGTTTTTGGGCGCACAGTTACCTCCAACAACACCCTCGCACTAAACCTGCCCAGGTGCTCGACTGGAGATGGAAAGCTTGAAGGAATACCTCCGTACTTCCTGTTTAGCTCGAAGAAACACAAAGAGTCAATCAAAGATCAGAATAATGCTATGTCTATATTTACGCATTCAACGATGAATGACGATCTAACACTATCCACCGTCAAAACTCAGTAGGATGGGGTGAAACTGTAGATGCCTTATAAAGCAGTAATCTAATATCCGATGCTGCAAGTAGGCGTCTCGAGGGGGTGAGTTGATAGAAAAGAGGTACTCGCTATACCTAATTAGGATCGTCTTTGTCAATGTTGTTGTCGATTTGTATTCTAGCCAATAGAACAGCCCGGAATCGATCATATTCGAATGACGACCCTCCGACACTCCGAGGATGTCTAGCGTTAACACCGCTTATTACCGCCCATGGGGTTGCAGATTTTCAGGGGAGTGTAGGTACTGAATTCGGTACCTGCCTTATGGAAGTTGTAGGCGGTGCGGTGAGCCCTCTAAGCGGGGCAGACGTCGGGACGAAACCTTAACTTCTTTTGTGACTCGCATGCTTCAGTTGACATGCTATTTTATGAAGTCCATTACACCAAGTACAGAGTATTTGGCATCACGCAACGCTGCAAAGAATTACAGATGTGCTGTTGACAAAAATACGGTTCAAATGTTTTGGCGAACCCCTAATCAAGCAATAGCGCAGAGGAAGGACGCACCGACTTTCAAGCTTTACTACACAGTAGCAAGGCTACTTACTTACTTCTACGAAGTACTTCGAAGTAAACTTACTTTGAGATCCCGATCGTTTAACGAGCTTAGTAGCTATAACATCACAATAATAATCCAGGCCTTTGCCAGTCCTCTTCGTTAGCGAAGGGAATGGGAATTTCAATCGCCTGATTTGGTCTGCCAAAAGCCCCTTTTTCCCATGATTTTCTTCGCCGAAGTGCCCGCGTTGACGTCGTGCTGACAGGTGCAGAAACTTGAAGTTCGGAATCGGATCATCCGACGTAAAATACAGTAGTGGAGCAGTCGACTTTACCAATGACATCTTGCATGGAACCTTTGAATATCCATACTGTATGTGGATCCACGCTCCACTAAGTCGCAGGTACGGTGCGGCCCGTCGGCTCCTGTCAAAATACTTACTCGAGTAAGCATTCCAAAAAAAAATGATTTTTTTCCCCCTGGCTGCCGCCCCGCCCTCGGTGGTGACTCGGCATTTCCATTCTAGTGCGCATTTGGGTGTGATTAGGAAATGTGCGTTCATACCTCACTCGCTACATCCTCACGACCGCATCCTCACCAACCAACGCACCCTCACTGTCGCCCTCTCTAATAGTTCGCGCCTCGCGTGTTAGGGTTAGCGTTATAGGTTAGGGTTAATGGAATATGAACCCCTTATTGTCGCGTCGCCTTTTGTAATCATTTTTAAAAACATTAAAACTTCATATATATTTCTAGCATACGCGTCGACGACGAATGTCGTCGACCGTAGCATATTTTGACAAGGCCACTTTTGAGTCTTTAGCACTCCAGGACGCGGCGTACCCACTTCCCCTTAATTGGTTAGTCTAAAAGCATTTTAATGGAATCTACTCGTAAAAGCATTTTAACGAGACCCGGACCGTTTCGCTGTGTACGGTACGGTATATTTTGATGGCATGCATATCAAGTATAAGTTGGATCTCAAGCCCTCGCCTAACTTCCTCCTCCACCCTTCTCTTCTTCTCTCCTCTTACCCTCCACCTCCTCCTCACCACTCGCTACAAGTACCTCAAGGTACCTCCATTCGTTTCAACTGCGATCACTTCAGTTGGTTTTTTGCGCACAATATAATGAAGTATCAACAATCTTTCAACGTCGTGGCCGCCGCCCTTGCGGCCACGGTATCGGCAGCCCCCTTCACCCCGCGCCATCTAAACTGGACCGTTGGTCAGGAAGTTCCAACCACCAGCGGTATGGTGGCGGGCCATGCCGCTCCCGATGTCCCCGAGGTCTCTGAATATCTTGGTATTCCATATGCCATGCCACCCGTAGGAAGCTTGAGATGGCAGCCTCCCGTCGCCTTTTCTGGATCCAATGAAACCATTGACGCCACCAAATTTGTAAGTGTAGTCCTCTGAAATCAAAAGGAACGAACTAACCCATGAACAGGGTGCAAGCTGTATGCAAGCGCCATTTGTTATTCCTCCACCTGTGCCTATTGTCGACAACCCAGAGAGCGAGGACTGTTTGACTCTCAACGTCTGGGGTAAACCCCAGAAGGGTGAGAGAGCAAAGGCAGTCCTTGTCTGGGTCTATGGAGGAGCCTACTCCTCCGGTACCTCAGCAGACCCTGCATTTTCTGGACGCTTTATTGCAGACTCAGAGGATGTCATTGTCGTTTCCATGAAGTATGTACTCTCCAATTTTCTTACCATTCAAAGTTTGTTTTGACGTTGAGACTAACAATGCCTGTAGCTACCGTCTCAACGTCTTTGGCTATCCAGGAAACCCCGCGCTCCCTGGAAACTTGGGTCTCCGTGATGTACGCCTTGCAATGGAATGGGTTCGGGACAACGTCGAGCACTTTGGAGGTGACCCCAGCCGTATCACCCTTTTCGGCCAGTCTGCAGGATCTGGTAACGTCGATGCATACAGCTACGCTTACGAGGAGGATCCAATCGCTTCCGGCTTCATCTTGATGAGCGCTACTCTGTATGGCTTCCCTGCCCTTGAACCAGCTGTCGTTGCCGAGCGTTGGTACCACATCACCAACTTGGTCGGATGTGGCAACGAGACTACTTCAACCGCCGAAGAAGTCAGCGACTGCATGATGACCAAGACCACCGAGGAGGTGTTGGCTGGCTACGATCCAGCCAACCTTCCAGCCGTAAACCCTTACGCTCCTATGATTGACGACGACGTGGTCTTCTCCAGCTACGTTGACCGCAACGTCGCCAAGGCAGGTTACTTGATTGGTAACACCTGGAACGAAGCCGGTTTGTTCAAGGCCGCCATGCCACCTCAAACCGACGAGTACTGGGCCACTGAGTTCAACGCTCGCCTCTACACCTGCGCGGGTGCCGTCCGTATCGACCAAGCTCAGGCTCAAGGGAACCCAGCCTGGAGATACCTGTACTTCGGTGACTTCCCCAACCTTGCCGTCTCCATCGACCCCCCAAGTGGAGCTTACCACACTGCCGACCTTGCACCACTCTTCAACACCGTTTCTCAAGAAAAGGGACCAAGCACACCTGAAGAGATTGCCGTCGGCGACTACCTCCGTGACGTTTGGTCCAGCTTCGCTAAGAACCCTCAATCTGGTCTCGACTCTTTCTGGCCTCAATACGCAGACGACACTATGAGTATGGCACAAACTGGTTTCAACAATCAGACCATGGTCCTTACCCAGGGTGACACCTACGATGATGTCTGCCACTGGGATTACACTGCTGTCGGTCAATCTACACCATTGTAAATGATTCAAGTGTGTTATGGGTATGTACGTGTATGTGTAATTATGAAACGACTTTTGGCATGTTAGATTATGATAATTGGGCTGTATGTAGGAACGATGTTGGATATGATATTTAGAAATATGAAACACATGATATTTTCATCATCTCAGATCTCTGCGTCTTTTATGAATCTTGTAGGATACCTAGTGATTTTAGTAAACTAGTGCATGGCAAACACCACATTCTGAGCTGAGCGGATTGGGTTGTTTCTCACTTGTTCTAGGAGGGTAGCCCTGAAACTCCCAGCCATCATTGAAGGACAATATTTGCCAACAAACTCTTAGTAGGGTGCCTCGCAGAGTAAAATGATGATACTTAAATCGATAAACGAAAATGCCGATCACGGTCGTCCTATAATGTATTTGATATATAGTATTCGAAATTACACCTAGAGTAGAAAGATGCTACTATAAGCCAAGTGTGAGAATAACCCTTTCTCATTACAGGATAATGGGAGAAAAGCTTCTCTTGGAAAAATTAGATAGGCTAATTCACTTTTCTAATCCATAATAAACACCTTCTATATTTCCCCTTGTACTAGAACTATTTACAAGTACTCATTAACCGCTCGCTCGCTTAATCAAGATAGAAACCCAACTAACCGGTAAAATCTTACTATAACACTACATCCCCCCGCCTCTAAAAAAAAGTAAGAACAATCTCAAAGTAGTAAATTTCTTACACACTATCCTGTCTCCTTACTACTAAAAAATAACTAAGGTATAAACACTGGAAAAAAGTATAGTTTCTTGTTTTTAAATACTTGGACCGAATAATCTAGACCCTCGCTAAACAGGCAATACACCAAATTCCCTTTTTTGTAACGGTGCTTTTTTGTGTCTGAGATGGAGTATATGTACTCACTCTATGAGACTGAAAAGACATATACTTTTATTAAGTAGGTATGCCGTATACGTGGGATTTGCATTTCATTTCCCAAAGTGGGATGGAGGTTCATTTTGCGACTCCTGGGTTACTAGAGATACTAGAGATGGGCTGTGGAGTTTTGGAGGCGACGGGATGATATGGGATGTTGATACTACCCGAGACGGACTTGATTTCACATGCTCTTGACTCATTATTTGCTTTCTACGTCAACGTCCTATCCTCTCGCTCCTAGTTGTCTCACACATTATTTTTGTAGTGCAAAGCTATGAGCGACGATACCAAGACTACAGCTAGTAAGAGTGAGACCAGCATATCATTACGTACATTTTATCACCGACCTTACACATAGCATCTTAACACCGTGAAAATAGATCTCTAAATAATCTTAAGTCATTAACAGAGCTTCATCTAGACGCCAAGTACTGTACTAGGCAACTCTTCTACTCTAATGCTCAATGTACTTCTTCAACCCTCTCAACCTCTCCTTCGCACTTTCCAAAACCTCATCTTCCTTACAAACAGCAAACCGCATCCAGTCCTCCCCAATATGCGCATTATCATCCGTATAAAACTCGGTCGGAGGGATAGCCGCCACACCAACCTCCTGAATCAAGAACCAGCAAAGTTTGAAATCTCTCGGTCGATCCTTGACATGGTCCGGGAATGGGTAATCGGCTGGAAGCTTGACTTTCTTCATGTTGACCAGAACGAAATAACCGCCTTCAGGGTCGGAGAAGGGGAGGTCTAGTTCGGCCCAGATTTGGTTGAAGGAGTCCATTTTTTGTTTCATTTCGGTGATTGCGGTGGTCCAGAAGTTGTTGGCATCCGCTTGCTCGAATCCGACGGCCGCAGCTTCTTGGAGAGGTGAGACGGAGGAGTAACAGATTCGTGTGTGGGCTGCTGCTACGTATTTGATTAAGTGAGGGGGTCCAATGAGCCAGCCTACTCGCCAGCCTGTTGCGTAGAAGTTCTTTCCTGCTGATCCGACAGTGAGGGTGAGGCGTTCGATTTCAGGAGATAGTATGGCTATGCGTGTGAACGGGACGTAGTAGAGTCGGTCGTACACTTCGTCTGAGAGGATGATGATGTTGTTCTTGACACACAAATCACCAATTTTAAGAAGTTCTTCTTTGGAGAAGACTTTACCAACGGGATTGTGTGGTGTGTTGAGAACAATCATTTTGGTTTTGGGAGTGATGGCTGCCTCGAATTCTTTGAAATCAATTGTCCATTCTCCTGCTGAAGTGTTTTTGGTTGAACCAGCTGGGGGTGGATGGAGAGGCACGTATTTGATTTTTCCGCCGGGCATTTCAATGTTGGAGATATATCTTTTTGGTGTTAGTAAGTCTTATAGACCAAGTTCTTAGTGTTACTTACTGGTCAAAGAATGGCTCGAAAATAATGACTTCGTCATCTTTCTCGAGAAATCCCATAAATGCACTCAACATTCCTATTTTCCATGAGATTACTATCTCTCACCAACCCAACAAGTTCGTCAACTCACCTTCATTTGCTCCAGTGGTAATAGTAATTTCAGTCTCCGGATCCAATTGTCTTCCCCATAATGGCGAGTAGGCATCGGCAATGGCCTTCTTTAGACGAGGACGTCCCCTCGTGGGCGAATATTGGTTACATTCAACCTTATCCAGAGCCTCCTTGGCAGCATTTATGATGAATTCTGGTGGATTGTAGCCAAAGAATCCTTGACCCATATTTACAATTGGCCTTATGGGGGAGTTGGCAGCACCCTCGTTCACAATGGTCCTACGATATGTTAAAACTGGGTCCCATTTATTGGCAGCCGCGACAAGCGAGGATGAAATTGTTGGTCCATTTGACGAAAAGAAAACAACCCATTTTTTGATAGATGGAAAAGTGTGACGAGCGCTGGTATTTGGGACAGTACTCGATCAGTCTGCTTACCACACATCTTGTCTTCTATCAGCCACTCTCGCAGCCGGTTGAAGTTTCGCCCTAGGGTCAGCCATAGCGGGGTTGGAGAATTTCCGCAGTTGGAAGGTGAATTGACTGATTTCCGTGCGGTTTTTGCGAGTGTATAGGTTGGGTGTTCTTCGAAGAAACATGGAGGACTTGTAAGCTTGGCGATGATGACAAAACGCTTGAGTCAGAAAAGCCAATGGTACGTACGGGTAATAGTGCAAATAGTACTCGAAGATACCCTCAAAACGTAATGTCGTGATTGGGGTGGGGTGGGATTGACCACCCACAGGCTCGGGATTGATGTGTGGCGTCAAGAACCCGATGTCGGCCATACGAGGAAGTCAAGTCACGGGGTGAGCGGGCTGAGGCTATCCAAACAGTCGGTCGGGTGGAGAAATCAGCCTGTACGCAAGGGCAGTACGAGTACAAGCTAGATTGTCAATCAACCTCACGACAACGTCTCGAAAACACATTTACCGGTGCAATGATTCTAAGCAATTGCGGTATCTGTTGATTGAAATGGCTATTGGAACATTGGACATGTGCTTCAAAAGTTGTTGGCCTCTTTGAAGCCTTGCACTTTCAACTGCCACCTGAATCCTCCTTGCCCTTACTCCGTACTCGTACCTTGAGACCATATCTATCTTGATTGTCTGCCAGCGGGCAACCTCAACCACTCAAACATGTCTTCTATCCTTCGCCTCACTGTACGATTTACAACCTCCACTCCAGACCTCCTCGTCGATATCCTTGCGCCAGAAGAAACATCGATCATTGCGCTGAAGCACCTTGTCCGATCGCGTCTCGAACCTCCCACCTCCAATTATCGATTTCGATTCATTCATAGCGGGAAACTGCTGAAAGATGACGATATTCTATCCGAAGTGATCAAAATACCAGCTCCTCCATCTAGACTTCCAGATCCGAAGGGCAAAGGGAAGGCAGTGGAACCTCCGCCAAACAGAGTCTACATCAATTGCTCCATAGGCGATGTTCTCACATTTGAGGAGCTTTCGGCCGAAGCTATCGCAGCGAAAAACCCAGTGAAGAAAGAAAGGAAAGGGGAAAAGGGAAGTTCTAAAGGTGGAAGTCCAACACGGCCAACCGTGACAACAACACCTGCCGTTCGCGGCTTCGACCGATTGCTCTCAGGCGGCTTCACGCCTGCCGAAGTAAATCAGCTTCGACTACAATTCCTCTCTATACAGTCCAGCATACACACGCCCGACACCATGCCATCACCTACCACATTGCGACGGATGGAAGATGCCTGGATCGATGATAATGCGGGCACTACAGGGGCTGGGGCGGGCGGTGGTGCTTTCGATTTTGGAAATGATGATCTGGGAGGCGGCGGGCTAGATGATCTGTTATGGGGTTGTGTCATGGGGTTTTTATGGCCCCTGGGGTGCGTGGGGTGGACGATTCAACAGGAAGGTATCTGGTCGCCTAGGCGAAAACTTGCCGTGGTCGTAGGCTTCATGTTCAGCCTTACTTTTGGGATGTTGAGGGTTATTTCATGAAGATATTGGTCATACAAAAGCACCTGCGCATGTCAACTTTGGGTCTACGGCCACCGTCTTTGACCGACTCCGAAGTGCATTGTAACGTCAGTATCTTTGATACTAAATTGGTGTTGCTCGTTCCGGGTTACAAGAACGGTTGGTAGAACCTCACAGAGTAAAATGGGGTAGACCAGGGCAAACCATGTGAGGCAGAGACGAAAAGCAACATCATGTCATTACCCCAGATTGATCGCACATGCGAGTGTTGGGTCAAGCTGGAATGATAATGATTCGCTCTTGTGAGAGTCACATCTCCAACAACATGTTGTGTAAGTCATATAACTCGGGTCAAAACCATTCTGCCGGGTTCGATAAGTCGTGACGAGGAACCGAAACTTCACATCGATCCCTCGGACTTTCGCGATTGCTGAAGAATTTTCGGATAGATTTCATCACTCGATAGGTGGAACGATAGTGCGGTCTTAGGACCTCGTCGGGTTGGATCTGCATTTGTTTTCTGCAATGCAAAGCATATTTGAACTTTGATATCATGTGTTGTGGTATTTTCCCCTGAGGTTTTTGTGAATGATGTCCGGTCCGACCAATCTCCATCCTGGCTGCTCCTTCGCTTCCCACGCTACCCCTCGGTTGAATACTACTGTAAGACGGGAAGATCCGTAACCTAGGCGGAGTAGTATGTAAAAGTTCATCGTTTTTGTGGATACTGAATCCTGATATATGCAGACAAACGAATGTATCATCTGTGCACCCACCCTTCAATACTGTCGTCACACTTTTACATCAAATTTTTGGGAGGGTCTTGTCAGCGTTCTTTTTCTGGTCATATTTCATTTCCTCACGCAATATAACATGCCCCCTCGCTTCGAAGGTTGAGGAGTGCGGTGGAGTATTCCAACACCGGACCTCTCCCGCAACGAATGAACAGGAACCACAAGTCTCCAAGTGATATTCCTTCTAAGTTGGAGACGAGAAGTAACGTTTCCTCCTTCTTTTCTTTCTTTCCTAGGATACCAATGATACTTGGGAGCTACATATACCTTTTCGGGAGGGCCTCTTTTTGTTTTCATCCGATCATCCCGTCGTCTACACTAGTTCGTCATGTCTGAATCAACAAACCCCTCATCCGTAGCCGTAGCGGCTCCCCCGGAATCCAGTGCCACAGTAAATCCAACCACCGTAATGGAAAGTCCAACGCCAGCGACGCCACCAGAAAATACTACTGGAAGTGCCCCGGCGCCAGCCGTGGCTTCCGCTGCTCCCGCTGTCGCGGCGGCTCAACCGGATATCGAAGCAGACGTGAGTTTTCCTTTTTGGTTGGGTTTGGTAGTTGACTGACGGTTGGGTCTCAAGGAAATTGATGCGTTGGAGGGTGATTCGGCTTTTGGGGATGATGCTTCGTGAGTTCTATCTTTGCCTTTTCGTTGTGTGGTGCCCCGGTCGGAATCTTGTTGGTTAGTTGGTGTTGTGGAGAAGAGAACTGATATGAGGACTGATATAGAGAGACAAGTTCACGCACTTCGTTATCGTCTGGTGTGACTAGGTACCGGTTAGTAACTACCTACTTCATCCTCGTTTTCTTCTACGTGCATTTACTTTCAGGTTGTGACTAACTTCTTATAACAGAGAAGAGGTATAGTCTCCCCCAAGTATCCCAGTGTCCATATGAATACTAATGGCCACATAGCACGGGAGGAGATACCACGCTTATCGAGATGGAAAATATCTGATCGTACGTTTCTATCGATATAAGTCCCGCGGAAATTGTGATTGAGACTAACATCACAAAGCCCAATGACGAAACAGAACAAGATCGTTTGGACCTGGTATGTTATTCTCCCTCTTACCCACTCCCGTTGATCCACTCTCACCACCACAACATTTCTAACAAAAATCACTACAGCATCATCACGTCTTCAATCTCGCTTTTGACGGCAAACTCGTCCATGCGCCGATCAAGAACCCGAGTCGAGTCCTAGATGCTGGGACTGGGACCGGGATATGGGCCATTGATTTTGCTGAGTGAGTATTCTTTATGTTCGTTCAGTAGATTGTATTGGATGATAGTACTAATGCCTTTTGCAAAGTCAATACCCAGAAGCTCATATCATAGGATCGGACTTGTCGCCTATTCAACCTGGATGGTATACTCCCCCCTTTTCTCATTACTTTCGCCTCTCGCTACCTAGTCGCCACCTCCCCTTTTGCCCCACTCTTACCCGAAGTTCGCTCCCTACACCTCATTACTCCTCCCCCTCACCCCTTTCTCGTCCTCCAAGCGAGATACTCGCCCAGCCATCCCAGCTCACCACTCCTCACTAACCCAGCCCACCAGGATCCCACCCAACCTCGAATTCGAAGTCGACGACCTAGAAGACACCTGGCGCCACAAGCCCTTCTCCTACATCCACATCCGCTCCCTGGCCGGCTCCATAAAAGACTGGCCGCGACTCCTCTCCCAAGCCCTCACCCACCTCGAACCGGGCGGGTACCTCGAAGTCGTCGAATTCGAAGTCCTCCTCCGCATCCAAAACGAGCACGAAATCGCCTTCCCGCCCATGATAAAAAAATGGCAGGAAGGGCTCCACCAAGCCGGCGAAGCCATCGGACGGTCCTTCGACATCGCGCCGCGACTCAAGGACATGTTGAGTGAGGCGGGCTATGTAGGCGTGCATGGGGAGGTGACGCGTGTGCCGAATAGTCCGTGGGCGAAGGAGAAGCGGTGGAAGGAGTTGGGGCTGTATCAGCAGCATCAGATGCTGGATGCGACGAGTTCGTATGGACAGGCGCATTTTACGAGGGTGTTGGGGTGGAGTAAGCAGGAGTTTGATGTCATGAGTGCGTGTTGTCGCAGGGAGTTGAAGGATTTGAGGTATCATACTTATTCGGATTTGTATGTTTGTTATGGGCAGAGGCCTTTGTGAGGGGGGATTGAGGTTATTTAGGCGAGTGTTGAGTGGGGATGAGATGGTGGGAGGGGGAGGGATTGGGATGGGGTGTGGTGTAGTTGGGTGATGGGGTGGGATCAAGTAAATAGGGGACTGAAGATTGATGAGACTGATTTGTCAAATATTTCGTCGTGATCAAAAGGAGGGGAAGAAATCAAAGGCACAGAGGAACGAATGACGAGAAGAAAAAAGAGGATATGTATAATGAGTTGATGAAGTGGCAAGGAAATGGGAAGGAGTCTGAATTGGAGGACCGCGTTCAGGATAGGGTTTACGTACAGTACTCGTCGTATTGTGATCAATTCTTCACATATTTCGTATAAATAAACAAATTTTCCGTCTGCCAATAAATTCAACATTCTTTGCAACTGCTTGCTTTGCTATACTGTGAACCAGAACCCCGTTTATAAACGCCTCGTAAAGTCAAAGCCCAAAATGAATCGCTGACAATACCACCCACGCCCAAATTCGCAACGATGACAAATGAAATGAAAATTTATACACGCTTTTTTGTTTTTCCATTCCCGATTGCTTTGAATCCATTGCCCTGCGTTCTGGAACCTCTCTGCACACCGAATATTGTCTCAATGATATATATAAACACTTGCACAATCCTGATCAACAACCTGAGTACAAAATCCCGTAATCCAAGAACAGGTTTCTTTCCTCTGCTAAAAGTGCTGTCTTTGAACTCAAATGGTAGCTTTGCGCCAAGGTGATCTTGTGCAACTTTGAGTCCAGAAGAGAAACCATCTTCGTGGAATCCATATTTGGTCCAGGCACCGCAGTAGCTGATTCCTCTTGTATTCTGGATTCGGGGAAGGAGACTCTGGGAACGGATGGCCAGGGCGTTATAGAGAGGATGAGTGTAGTTGTATCGTCCTTGGATGGTTTCAGGGGCTGGCTCATGTAGAGGGTTAAGTGTTACGAGGACGGGCCCGAAGATTTCCTCAGGAAGATGTTGGAGAATGTTCATGTTGTACGTCAGGCATACCTGATCAACATTTGATGAGGTTGGCGAGGTTCTGGTGATGTAATTCCAAGATGACCAGGCAGATCTCAATTTTGGCATTAGTGACAAGTCGGAGTGAAGAACTGCGGTATTTTTGCTAGATTTGAATCCCGACAAAATACTTCGTTCCTCGGCATCGGCTTCTGGAAGTACAATAGCATGTGCTTGGTCACCATGAGTTGCGAGAATAACATGATCGTAAATTTCCGAACGACCATTCTTCAGATGGAGTCGAACTCGACCATCGTCGTCATTCGTGACTGTTTCGACCGGAGTGTTGAGGAAAATGTGATTTGGCGGAAATCCTTTCATCACAGCATCTATGTAGCTTTTTGCGCAATACTTGAGGGTCAACCAGTCAGGTCTTTTAGAAACAGTGTTTAACAGATGGTGATTCCACCTGTATCATGTTAGCAGAAGCCCCAATGTCATCGCTTCCCCACACTTACATGAACCGAACCAACGTAACGGCGGGAAAGTCCAAGGTGCACTTATCAGGACTAGTACTCCATACGGCAGCGGTCATGGGTATGAGGTAGTCGTCCCGAAAAGAATCCGAGTATCCTTCCCTTTCTAAATATTGACCAATACTTTCGACCTCTTCGCAGAAATGAACATGGTTTCCGTTGGATTTGCCGTTGCCATTCGTACGCATGACAGGTTCTTCACTGAGTTCCTCGGTCTTCAGCAGGTCCAGAGCAAACTGGTTGAAGCGTATAATATCGAATATCATCCTCCACATGTAAGGGGAAAGTAGGTTTTTGCGTTGGGCGAATACGGCGGAAAGGGAGGTACCAGCCCACTCAAAACAGCCATTATCTCTCGAAACCCCAAAGGTCATTTCCGTCAAGGTCGTCGGGACTCGAATGGATTTGAGGAAAGCAATAAAATTGGCTGTCACATGTTAGTAGATGCCATTGAAACGAGCGCATTGAACATTACGGTAGGTGGCGGTATTCAAGACGATAAATCCAGTATCGACCATGGTTCTGTGGTTGCCATTCTTGAATGCGACGGTATTGGTATGCCCTCCCAGCCGATCCGCGGCCTCGTAAATGTAGACATCGTGGTGCGTCCTGTTCAAGGCCCATAGCGCAGCTATGCCAGCAGAACCACTACCTACGATGGCGACTTTCTTTCTGGGAACGGGTGTTAGGCGGGCCATTTTGGGAAAAGGGGAAGTGAAGAGAGAAGGGACGAAGAAGAATTACAACGAAAAAAAGAAGGAAAAAGGTGAAGGTAAAGGCGAAGAATGAAAAGGTGAAGGACGGTAAGGTGAGATAGGTTAGATAAGAAAAAATGATATTACAGGCGTCCAGAAGGAGGTGGAGATGGAGCTTGGGATGAGGTGGCAGAGGCCGCAGGGTGGACTGGTACTGGTGGCGGCATGGTTGCTTTTTGAGCGATTTGAGGGTACTCGAGTAGAGTGCAGACTACGAGTACAGACTACGAGTACAGGATACTGGTGGCTCTTAGACTAAGAATGTGTCAGTACAGCAAAGTGGCTAGGTACATAGGTACCAGTACGGAGGAGAGGTACAGTAGTGCTTCACTTGTACGTGCTGGCGTTTCTCACAAGGTGCGAGAGAAAGAGTCAGAGAGTCGTGATGCTGCTGCATGCAATATGCACTCTAGACGTCAATCATAGAAATCATGGAGGGGAGCATTCACCTGTAACAGGCTCAGAGCTCTCTATGGGCACTAGGCGAACATCAACAAGGTTCAGAGCTCTTGCGCTGCCCTTCTCATTCGCCGCATCGCTGCAAGCTCTCTCGGCTCTCTCCCACAAGTGCGCTTTCCCCGCCGTCATCCTCTTCCGCCGGGTTTCCCAGCGCCACTGTTCCCCGAAGCGTGGCTGAAATGGCGGAGCAGGGTGTGGCTGGAGATGCCAAGAGCCATCTGGACAATCAGGACAATCAACATCGTGATGTGGCCTGCCTCGGGACTACTGGGACGGAGATACAGAGAAACACCTGCAAACACCAATCACCAATACATACATCCACAATCCACACTCATCACCATACACCGCACTGCATTCGTCTACCAAACCATCACCACCTTCCCATTCGAGTGGTTGAACACGATCCAGTCCCGAGTGGAAATACCGAAACACCCCCTGGAACCCTCCTGGTAGTGGCATTGCGACGACGTGGAAGGCAACCACATACAACAACACAATCACCCCACTCACCAGTCTGATACTCTCACGTCCACCTTCGCAATCATGTCGAACCCTCTCGATACCGACGCTGGCTCTGAGCTCTTCAGCAGCTACGAGGCCGAACTCAAGTTAGTCCAGGCCGACCTCAGCCAGAAGTTGGATCAAATCCCAGACTTGTCCGGCGAACCAAGAAAGGCGGCAATCAGCCAAGCTGAGCGAGCTTTAGAGGAGGCAGACGAAATCGTACGTTCCGGAAACCCCTCGTCACATCCATCTAGGAGAGATGCTGATTATCTTCCCAGCTGTCATCAATGAAACTTGAAAAGTCCAATATCCCTTCCGCGAACCGAACCAAAGTAAATCAACGCCTCCGAAACTTCGAGTCCGACATCGATGCTGCGAAACGGAAGTTGCGAACCCTAGCTGACGACAGATCTGCCCTCTTTGGTGGTCGATACTCGGATAACCCAAATGACGTTCAGCTGGAGCAAAGACAACAGCTCTTGTCAGGGACCGACAGGTTGGATCGCAGCTCGCAACGTCTAAAGGCTAGTCAAGCACTTGCAAATGATACGGAAGCAATCGGAGCAAGTACCCTCGCAAATTTACGTTTACAAAGAGAAACGATCGAGAACACCACCAATACACTTTTGATAAGTGAGGGATATGTAGACAGGAGTGTAAAGACATTGCGCGGTATGGCGCGTAGGTAATTCTTCCCTATACCCTATTTATATATGACTTCTGGGCAGTCTTGGCTAACCCATCTTTTTCTGCAGGATGGCTACAAATCGGATAATTACCGTTTGTATTATCACAGTTTTGGTTCTTCTCATCATCGCGGTCGTCTACAGCAAGTTCAGATGAGTAATTTATGGATGGGTATGGCGTTTTGGGGGGAAGACGAGTAGATACTCGTTACGTTCTTGAGTACTTGGCACAAGCCAATTTTAGGTATTATACATTGTAAATCCAGTTATGAATGAGGAGTTTTTTTTCATGCAATAGAGATTTTCTCGGAATGAATGAATTATTTTCATACGTTAATCAGGATCAGAAATCGTCATCGCGGGGTTAACGTGAAGACAACACCTGGCTATTTACTCTTGACCACCTGGCGCATGAGATGGGCATCAACAAGCGCACGAAGGATCGGTCGTCGCATAGTGGAGAAGTTTTATAAAACCAAGAGTACTCGAGCAGTGTGTTGATACTATATACTTTGGAACTATACTACAATAACAAGCGACGCCATTTTTGCTACATAATATTTTACTTCCCACACCCAGACCAATCCACGCTTTCTCAACCGACATGCTCTGAAGAGTCAGGAATATACGATTCAGCCAGGTCTCTTAGAAGACAACAGGAAGCTCCGAAATCCCAACGTCCTTGTGAGGGGACGAATACTTGACCTCTTCAAAAGGAACAGCAAGTCTAAGGTTCGGCAATCTCTGAAAGAGTGTTGCTATATCAAGTCAGTCCACCTCCTCCATCGCCTCGGAAAGAGAAAAAGTCCCAGCGAAGGCAAAGAAGAAGAACATACCAAAGACAATCTCCAACTCTGCTCTCGCCAGCCACTCAGCCACACATCTATGCTCTCCCCATCCAAACCCCAACGCCTCTACCTCCCTCTCCTTCGTCATATCGAACTCCTCCGGCTGGTCGAACATCTCCTCATCCCGATTCCCACTCATCGTCGCAGCGATGATCCCCTCGCCCTTCCTAATCCTCTTCCCACCTAACACGATATCCTCCTTCGCAACCCGTTTCGTAGCGAGCGCTGACGCAGTATGAAACCGACACAACTCACTCACCACCCTCGGACTCCACTTTTCCGCGTCTGCTTTCAGCAACTCCAGCTGTGTCGGATTTTGGAGTAGCGTCACGATCCCGAGGGCGATCATGGAGACCATTGTTGCGTTGCCTGCGACGAGCAACAGGAAGGCGATTTGCATGATGTCGTCTTTTTGGAGGATGCCGTGGTGGTATTGCGTGGTTACTAGATGGGTGATGAGATCCTGCTTTGGGACGGTGATGCGCTGCGAGACGAGGGTGCTGAGGTAGGAGAGGAGGGAGGCGTTTGCGCAGCTGGATTCGAGGGCGGTGGAGGAGCCGTTGGTGCGGATTGCGGCTTGGGTTGTGAGGTAGGGGAGATCGGTTAGGGGGACGCCGAGGAGGGTGTAGATTGTCTGCAACATGTAAGTGTCTCATTTTGTGAAAAGATAAATAGACGAGGGGATATACGTGTGAAGGGACTGGGAGGGCGAATTTCTCGACGATGTCAAAAGGTTGGACGTCTTGGAGGGAACAATTGGTTGAAGGGCGTGCGTCCCTTTCTGCGATGATGGTGGTGAGGAGTTGATCGACGGTTTCTTGGATTTGGGGACGGAGGGCGTCGATTTGGGGCTTGGTGAAGAGGGGTTCAATCATGCTCCTGGGTTCATTTTTCGTGGTTTAGTAGATTCTTCCCTCTCTGTCTCCCTTCGTATCTTGGGAGTAAGGCCTATTTACCTCTGAGCCATGTGCTGAGGCGGATCCATATCCACGAAAGTCGGTTTACTCTTAGCAGCCAGTTTACCCCCCTCACTCAATTCGGGGAATCCGGGTCGTGCCCTCTCCTTTGATGATCTCGTCAGTTCAATGACTCTTTTAGGGGGAAAGGAAAGAAAAGAAAAGAAAAGAAAGGAAAGGCGAAGGACTAAAGTGCTAGTAGAGGGAAGAAACCAACCTTCGATAATCGATCATCCGTCAAAACACTACAAATATCTTTATATTTGACGACCAGCCAAGCGAGGCTTCCATCGAATAACTCGACCTGGGACACGGGATCTTGGGCTCGGAGATGGGCGTACTCCAGAGGTGGTTGGTAGTCTGAGGGCCGAGCAAAGGGGAATTTTGGAGCGGTCATTTTTGTGATGTGAGGATTCTCAGGGGACGGGATAGGTGGTTGGCTGTTTCTTTTTGTTTTTGAGTAATGAATTGTCTTGTGGAGTTCAGAAAGATATGAGGAATTGGACATAGTCATGTACCCCTCTTATACATCTCAACCCCTCCCGAGTCACACCACTTTGAGAGCTCTGTACATACATCCGCTTCCCAAATGATGCAGAGTGATTACTGCACCAATTCCTACCTAGGGATTTACTGCAACATCATGCACTACTCAAACCCACAGTCCTGCCAAATGAAGATTCCTCATTCTCGCAGACGAGAACCTGAAGTATGTCAGCACCACGCATTTCCCATCTTGACATACTTACCCGGCCATACATAATCCATCCCCCATTTAACGAACCAAGATTCCGAGCTCTCGGTACACTCGAAAGAAAACTCCGCGAGTGAGAAAATCCCCTGTCATTTCGGGAGCTCGAGATTTCGGTGGTTGTTAGGACATAAGCGCGGAGGAGAAACGTTTACAAAAGAGCTATACCCCGTCGAAAGGCTATGAGGGATATCGGGCCATGCGTCTGGAAAGAGTCATCGCCCACATTTGATTTGTCAGGACCCTAGATGTTTTCGCGTTCTTGGAGTGATGTTGGATTATGAAGGGTAGGGTGGGCTTATTTCTTGTTATGTTTCTCCGCGGAAATTGGGTTAAGCGAGGCGTTTTATAGGTCTCTATTAAGCGACGAGGAACATTGTTCGTCTATGGACTTTGAGGACGAAGAATGGGATTTTGTTGGAATATGAATGGAGTATGTTTGTTTTCGCGTGGTATTTACGCGTTTCTAGGACCGCCTTTGAGGAGGTACTTGATATCTTGATTCTTCTTTCGTCTCGGGGGACAATAGGTGTTGTAGCATTCTTGTTTAAAGTACGGCGTGCCTGTAAAGAGAAAACGATTTAGGTAAAGAGGATTCCCAGTGGGAGCACGGGAGTCTATAACACTATAGACCCCCGGTTCATACCCTATAGGCTCCGGTCTATAGGTTATAGACTCCCGCGTACTCTATAGTACCTTAGGGAGAACTTTAAAAATATAAAAATATTAAAAATCTCTAAAAACTCGCTTATAATACTAAGAATACCTATTTATATATACCCTCGATATATTATAGTGTTTATAGTACTATAGCGTTTACTATAAATAATTTTATTATAATTACTTTTTAAAATCCTTTTCTCGAGCTCCCTTTATAAAAAAAAGGGTCGAATTTTAACTTTCTCGCTTAGTATTTACTAGTAGTTCCGGGGTAGTGTAACGAATACTCAAACTGGCTAACTAAACTTGGCTGGGTGTTCGCTGGTTGGTATGCTATGATAAGAAGAAGACTATCGGGTTGTTCACTTGGAAGTGAACTCGTTACTTGTATCAAAGATGTCAAACTAATATGATAAGATTGATAACTAAGTTGAGCACGAAGCCCCTATCTAATGGCAGACGTGCCAGTATTATATAGAACCTTCGTTCTCTCGATGTTCGCTCGTTCGACAATCGAACTGGCTAACTTCGCCTGTTCGCCCGGCTAACTGGCGAACTCTTAATATCACGTGATAATAATACAGAGAAATCCCTGGATCGCTCAGCTACTCCAAACGATCCCTATTTGCTATAAGAAACCTGGATGTGCCTGTCTGTCACGAATCACGTGCACAAGTGATAAGTGAAGACCAGGCGGCGTCCTGACAGGTCAAGCACATCTATAGACTTATAGCAAATAAGGGATCGTTTGGGCTAGCTAAGCGATCCAGGGATTTCCTTGGGTTAGAATCACGTGACCAGCGACATGGCCGACACGGTCGACCGTGTCGACCATGGGCGACTGTTCGACCATGGCGACTATGGGAACGAGGGTTCTATATAATACTGGCACGTCTGCCATTAGATAGGAGCTTCGTGCTCAACTTAGTTATCAATCTTATCATATTAGTTTGACATCTTTGATACAAGTAACGAGTTCACTTCCAAGTGAACAACCCGATAGTCTTCTTCTTATCATAGCATACCAACCAGCGAACACCCAGCCAAGTTTAGTTAGCCAGTTTGAGTATTCGTTACATATAATACTCTCGTCTCGACATAGATTTTTCCCTCGTTCCTCGGATCCCTAAAAGAGACTCTAGAATCCTTTGTAAGGTCTAGAACGCAAACCTTCCTTACTTACTACATTATGCATAGCGTAGTCCTTACTTACTACATTAGGAAGGGAAAAGTGGGTGCGTAGTAAGTCAGCAGGAACACCAAAACTCGTCCGCAGCGTGCGGCTCTTTACGCCTTTCTAGCGGCATTTCCACCGGTCGGAAGCGTATATTTTTCGAGGACAAGACAGTACTTAATTAACCCTACAAATCTGTCTTATTTTTATGTCGTTCCGACATGTGTAGGTGCGGCTACGTAGGTGCAAAGAGCCGCATGCGTGCAGGTGAGGCTCAAGGGCCACCAGTGGGTGACAGAATTCGTGGGACAGCACAACTTCTAAATTACGTAATCAAGAACACTAAAAATTACTACTATTCAAACTTTTATTACCACTTCGCAGTCTTTATAGGCTTCCCACTCGTTTTAACTAGTAATTTACATCGCCGAGGCATATCCGCTATACGGGCACGAACTTCCTCCATTGTAATCTTACTCCATTCGTCCTGAACCACCTCCTTAAGCTCCGCAATTGTATTCCATACTCTCCGACGTATTCTTTGCTTAAGGATATTCCAAAGAGCCTCTATAGGGTTGAGATCTGGGGACTGGGGAGGGTGGACAAGGTTCGTGATCCAATTAGCCCTTTTGAGTACTGATGCAAGGCTATCTGGGTTCTGTATACCATGAGACTTGTCCCCATCTTCCTGAAGAAGCCAACTACTGTTTATACATTCCTCTGTAATCCTTAGGTGTTGAATTGCGTCAATATAAAAAGGAAGAAGGCGTTCTACGTAATAGAGGCCGGTCATGGAGTTCCCTTTTGGCTTAACCTCTTTATCGTGTGCCTCGCATTCAGCCTCCCACTTTAGTATTAACTCTGCATATTCCTCGTCTGTACAGTACTTGGTTTTGCGAGGCTTCCTAGGCTTCCTAGCTTTAATAACTTCATCCTCTTCGTCGTGGTAGAACTGGAGTTTCTCGCATTTGGCATGCCAATTACACCACCCTGCGATGTGTAGCCGTACGCCCCGTTTCTCCCCCCTTTCCTGTATATATTCGGGCTTATAACGCTTCCCTTGCTCACGGAGGTAGAAGTCTTGAACGTTAGAGGTAGGATCAATATGTGCCTCGTCTGTCCAGAGAACCCTACGCCAATGGTTCTCAACTGTCTTGTACTGCCACTTCCTCCCGTATTCTGTCCGTTTCTGCCGGTTTGTATTCGAGGTTTTCTTCTTTACGTACGCAGCCTTATAGCGACGGGCCTTGTTTGTATGCCTGAGCAAAGCGCGCTGTAGAGTGCGGGCGGAACCCTTGATCTTGTGGTATTTCATTTGAGCTTCGTAGTGCTGGTTTTGGACGGGGTTTTTGGCTGGGTTGACAAGGAGTAAACAACTCTCTTTTGAGATAAGACGACGCCTCCCAAGTATATTTGACCTCTTCCGCGTCCGCCGGTATGCTGCAGACCCTATTTGAGTACGCTCTTTGAGCCATCGTGATGCCGTAGACCTGGTTACTCCCAAATCTGCCCCAATAGCCTTATGTGTTTCTGCGCCGTGCCGGGCGTCCCAGGCCTCGTAAAACCGGGTCTTTTTGGTAGTAGTAGCTTCGCGGTGGTATATTTGACGATCTGGCGTGTCCTCTCTACTGTGAGTAGGCGTGTTAGTGTCCATTTGGACGGTTTAAAGAGTATGTTTTATTAAGGTATGATATCTAAGCATTTTTGGTGTTCTTGATTACGTAATTTAGAAGTTGTGCTGTCCCACGAATTCTGTCACCCACTGGTGGGCGTATGCGGCTCTCGGTGCCGGCTCCCCGTGTGGCTAAGTGTGGCTTTGCGGCCTTGGCGGACCTGGACCTCACAAGGGACGTAAGAGTCTCCCTAGAGACTCTTATACTGAGATTGGAGGCTAAGTGACCGATGTGAGTTATGAAGGCAACAAACTCGAGGCCTGTTTTCCCGACGTCCCTTCCTTTCACAACTGGTTCTCCGGCGTTGATATGCCCCAGAAAGATACCTCAGACCCAGATCCCTGGCGTGCTGGCCTTTTGGGCGACTCTCCAATTGTCTTTACTCACGGCGATTTACATCGTAGCAATATCCTCATGTCATGGGATGAAAAGGGCGCACCCAAGATAGCTGCGATTGTTGACTGGCATCAATCTGGGTGGTACCCTGCGCCATGGGAGTTTTACAAGACGAGGTTCACTAGTAGAGCTGGTGAGCAATGGGAATTGGAGTACATACTTGAGTTTTTGCAACCCTACCACGCTTATATACCCTGGGATTACTTTGTTCTCAAAAGGGGCACTTAGAAAAGATTTCATTCTACAATCGTCAAGACTTATTTACTTCAGGTTAATTATAGTAGTGATCTTTCTCTGTTTCTAGAAGGTGGCAAGAGGCTGAACCTTACTTAGTCTTGAATATTTCAACAGAACAAATATCTATGAAGAAAATATCCACTTATAAGCCATCCATCACAAGAAAAAAAGAGATGGAACGCAAAAACAAGTCTACTTGAATTCGGACGTATGGAATTACGCGAAATCTAGTCCCTCCCTAACGAGGATGACTGAAATTATTACAGTGTTCGTTGAAAGGGGATCTTACCGATACCAGGCATAACCGCTGCGGATCCTTGCGGCCACTCCACCTACAGTTTTGCTAATGCCTTTAATGATGGAGGGTAGAAAATGAGTATTACTCGCAGCCGCGCGCTTGTAACGGCTGTGGATGAAATATAATATTATCCCAGGCTATCGAGGATGGGGAAAAACGTGTACGTGAAGTGGAGTGGTGTCGGATTGTGAAGGCTAGCTGGGGCTAGTTTATCTTTTTTTTTGGTTTCTGCGCGGAAATGGGTTAAGCGAGGGGATTTCCTGGGAGTCTTGTTTTTGGATAGAGAGGTTGATTTTTTCTGCCTCATGTGTTCTGATGGGTGGTTGGAATGGTCCTGAAGTATTTGGGGATGTAGGTCTAAAACTTTCCGAAACTTCTTTACCAGTTCGAGAGGGTACACTTTTCTTTGATTTTGAGATTAGTGTTGAAGATTGATGTTACTAAAATTTCCTGGGCATATAAAGGAGTGTTTTGTTTCGTAGTCTTCCTAGAATTAGATTCGACATATTGTGGAAGTCTTTTGTGTGGATAGTTGAATATTTCATGAGTTCCTATTACCCGGCATGTATCTTAACATTCGTAGGATCTCGATGCTGCCCCACGAAATTGTATATTACAATATTAACACTGAGTACAGTTCATATTAAGCTACACAACGCAAACGAGTCAATCTTCCGAGGCTCTCTTGTTACTTACAAAGCCTCATGTGATATCCAGATTACTACAAAACGAGGAAATGTAAATCATCACGTCAAAGATTACCCTCTTAGGGAACATTTTCCGAGTGCGTAAATTAGTAACGTCCTTGAAAAGAGTCTAAATTGCCAGACTAATCTCTTTGTAAAACCATTGGAACAAGTATGAATTCGTAAACGAACCAGCCCATATGTAGATATGCCGAAACAGAAAATTCAGGTTAGATTTACAGTAGTGCGAAGAATGAGTCCGAGGAAACGTATATTTGAAGGTAACTTTGAGGGAAGTACTGGAAATTTTCCAAGCCAATGATCCATAATGCACAAACTGCTAGAGAGACGCCTGCGATGCCCAACTACATTTTTTAAGAAACCCCCTCCTTTCCTGTCGCAACATCCATATGTTGTATCACGTGACCTAGCACTGGCATATAACCTAGCGTTTGTAGTCTAGCTACCTAGTGGGAGCGCAGTCCATAACGGATGGACTACGGTAGTCTATGACCATGTAGTCTATGACAGGGGTCAAAACTTGCCGTTTTTGACCTAGTTAAGGCTAGTTTTAAATGCCCCCTCTTCTATGATTCTCTGTCTACGAGCCGGTTCCGTCACTCCTCTGCCTATCGCTTTACGTAGAGGAGGGACAGAACCGGCTATTACTACTACAAAAAAAATTAAAAATTTACATACTTACCTAGAGGGGCCTACAGGGGGTATAGGGGATATATATAGAATAAATAGGACTTATAGGTAGAGGGAGAGAGAGTAGGGGGATAGTACTTACCTGTAACGAATACTCAAACTGGCTAACTAAACTTGGCTGGGTGTTCGCTGGTTGGTATGCTATGATAAGAAGAAGACTATCGGGTTGTTCACTTGGAAGTGAACTCGTTACTTGTATCAAAGATGTCAAACTAATATGATAAGATTGATAACTAAGTTGAGCACGAAGCTCCTATCTAAATGGCAGACGTGCCAGTCTTATATAGAACCTTCGTTCTCTGTTGGATCGCACACATCGCTTTCGTCGCTCGCGACTTGGGCGATCTGGGCGATCACGGTCACGTGATCTTTCCTATGCTAAGAAATCCCTGGACCGCTTAGCTAGCCTAAGCATCCCTTTTTGCTATAAGAGATATGATAGTGCTTAACCTGTCAGGGCGCCGCCTGGTCTTCACTTGTCACATGCTTACACGTGATTCGTGACATTACCTAGGACTAGAGGGAGGGATAGGAGGGAGGGAGACTTACGAGTACAAACAGACGACCGACCGATAGATAGACAGACAGAAGGGAGGGAGACTTACGAGTATAGACAGACGATCGACCGAAAGACAGATAGATAGATATATGTAGCTAGTACGCATAGTTACGTAATTTAGCTTGAAACGATAGTAAAAGTATCCTAGCGAGGTTACCGATAGTCGGCCTACAGCGCGCCTAGGTATTATTTCGACTGCTCCGACTAGGTACTAGGTACTACCTAGATACTAAGCGAGAAAGTTAAAAATTCGACTTTTCTCTTGTAAAGGGAGCTCGAAGAGGGGATTTTTAAGGGATAACTAGAATAAAATTATTTATAGCTAACACTATAGTACTAGAAACGCTATAATACGTCGAGGGTATATATAAATAAGTATTCTTAGTATTCTAAGAGAGTTTAAAGATTTTTTAAAATTTATATTTCTAAAGTTCCCCTCGGGCACTATAGAGTACGCGGGAGTCTATAACCTATAGACGGGAGTCCATGCCTTATAGACCGGGGGTCTATAGTGTTATAGACTCCCGTGCTCCCACTAGGCTAGCTACCTTTGCTTCCCTAAGCAATTAGACACCGAACAAGGACTGATTGCTTCAACCCCTTATGACTACCCTTTCGGAGTACCTGTGTACCGACATTTTCTTTCCAACTCTCTTGATTAAACAGTGCCAAGACTGATATATCTTGTCCATGGAGAGCTAGGATACCTATAGAACATTATGCCAATGCCACAAAATTGATGCACGACGTTTTCGAACCCTTTGAGTATTTAATACAAATTTGATATTCAACGCTCTGGCTAAGTAAGTCTCTTGTTTCGTTGTTCAGGGCTGATTTCAAATTAATTTGGATTTATTCAAGTATATACCTGTTGTAACCAAGCGAAGTGTATTTACTATGACAAACCCGTGGTGCATTGGTGCATTCAACGTCAAAAAAGAAAGACTTTACGTTGGAGATATCTTTTCTAATCTAGACGTAACTCACCTATAGATCTCGGCGTCGTGTTTTCAAACAGAAAGGCATTTGTCCAGGTAGATCAGAGGCTCAGAGTAGATTTTGTACTGATACGAGTACTCGAGTACTGCGCCCCGAACATCCTCCCGCAGCAGTGCATCCGAAACCTGGAGTGGTTGTACGAGTACTCGAGTACACCAATTGTGAGGCAGCAAGCAAGCGAAAGTTGAGAACAAGCAATAATAATGGCAGTGCGCAGTAATAAGCCACCGCCACAGACATAGAAATTTGGTCGTCTTCTCACCCAGAATTTGTCATTTGGTTGTAGTGAGTCTTAGTACTCGTGAGGTTTAGATATCGTGAATGAGCGAGTCACGGCTTCTTACACGCGCAACTTGAAACTTGAATCCACTGCACCCGCACTCCCTCTCTCCACTCGTTGGTGGAGGATCATACCGTAAGCGCTTCGCTCACTCTCGTCAGCGGTCCCAGTCGCCCCCCAACATCGAGTCTGTTCTGCAATTGAATTTTTCGTGTGCTCCCAATGATCCCGAATGTCTTTTGTAATTGATGGTGATCCTTGACTGCTGATTTCTCCCCTACCTTTCCGATTTCTCCCATTGACTTTCTGAACGGCCTTTACCTGCAGCCGTCGGCCATCGTGGGTCTAGGTCTACCCCGTATCGTGTCGTATCGCTGGAAGCTGAGCTGTGCGGTCGCCCCGGCATCCAGGTCGTCGTCAATACAGCCCAACCACCACGCAAACAAGGCTGCCACTACACTGCACTGCACTGCACTACCAGTATTCAATCTGGCTCCTGAAATTCCCATTCCCATGTCCCATTGCCCCTTAACAACTCGACCTCAGACTTGTAACCAAATTGAACCCCGCCAATCCGATCTTCGTCTTCCCGGTACGAGCGTGAGCACGAACACCGACGACGTCAGAATAGCTCTATTTATATTAGAGTTAGGGGTCAAGGCATCAGACCTGAGACGGGACGAACCTCTACCTCCAACGGAGCTATTCGAATGATATGACCGCTGGGTCCAATTGCCACATTCCTCGCTTCTAATCGATTATCGACCAACACACTCGCTACTCAACCAAGTTTATAATGTATGTGTCGGGAGCGGAACGGCGGCAAGAAGCTACACCAACTACACCATCAGAGGCGGGGAACAGCAACACCAACAGCAATGGGCCAACAACAGATGCAGCATTCACCCTCAGCCCAACGTCGACCGACCTTGGGTCGTTGTCTACGGCTTCAGTACAGACGGCTGAACCAGAGCCCACCAAGGCGCATGCCTCCGATTCGAGTGATTCAGACAGTCAAGCTATGACGATTGCTCCGGTGAGTTCATTCTAGGTCCAACACTATCAATTTGGTGTAACCAAGCATCCAATGTGCAAACTAGTCTAATAGAAGATTTACAGGTCCTCATTGGCATACTTGCAGCTATTCTCGCCCTAATATTTGCATACTTCCTCATTCGCCGTGCCCGATTAAAGCACAAGAATCCGAAATATGTTCCAACCCCATATCTCAAGAACGCCTGGAAGAAATGGGACCCGCAATCGTCCAGGACACGTCGGCGATTGCCAGATAGAAACGAGCACCTCGAATCCGTATTGAATAATGGATCTTTGAGAGGTGGTGGACCTCCTTCGACATTCAATTCAGCTGCGCGCACAGCCGGAGGGGTGGATAGAAATACTTCCGTGAGATCAGTCATGACTTTACCAGCATACAACCCGAATCCACATCATAGTGAACAAGTGCTGGGGCGAGAAGGAGAGCGTGGGGGTATAGATACGGTAGTCGAATTTCCCGAGACAGTGGATGATGAGGAGCGCTTGAGAGAAGAAGAAATGGAGGCCCTCTATCAAGTAAGACTTGCAAGAAGACGAGATAACGAGGAACGAGAAGAACGTCGGAGACTAAGGCGGGAAGCGAGAGAGCGGGGAGATCATGTTGCGCTACGAGAGCTGCAAGAAAGTGCAAGAACTGGTTCAGCTACCAGTCATAACGGGCGAACTGTGGAGGAATTACGAGCTGAGCACGAACGAATAAAGAATGAACGTGCGAAAGCAGTGTCTGCGGTGGCATACGGAGACTTGGGAGTTGCAAGACATGATGGAACGAGGTTACGGGCAAATAGTATTGAGAGTGAAAGGGAAGGGCTACTTGGTGATGTTGCAAGTATTGCAGCGAGCAGCCATTATCATCGAAGAGAGCGAAGCGCAAGTTCAGTTATCAGTCTGGATACTACGAACAATGAATTCGCATCCCCCGGATTACCACGACCGCGATCGAATTCGAGACCAGACAGTCCGTTTGCACAAGTAAGAAGACCGAGTCGTGATGGAAGTATAGCGCACGAGGGAAGAGCTGGCAGCAGTCCCGAGATGATCGAACACGATGACATCCCTCCAAGCAGTCCCCCAGAATACGAGAACATTCCTCTGGAAACCACACCATCTGAATCTCCCAACGAACCCCCGCCAGATTACACCAGTCCCATAACTGCAAGCGGAGAACACAGATCAATGTTTGAAGCGAGCGATAGTCACGGAAGTCCCACAAATGCCCAAGAAAGAAGGACCAGTACATCGAGTGCGCAAGAAAGAAGAGCCAGCAGCTCGAGTAAACCAATCCTGTCATCTCCCGAGCGTTCCCTGCAAGAAGAACGACCAGGCTCGTCCTCACGGGGAGTAGGCGGTGTCCCCCAACTCCCAAGTCTGAGACTCGCCAAGCTTCCGTCCATCCAAATCGATCCCTCAAGCCCGACGGTAGAGACGATACAAGAGGAAGCTACAGCTCCGACCAGCCACCCTCGATGATTCTGGATCTAGATACCAGACCATAAATAACGACATGAACATTTTTGGATCGAACTGTCGAACATCTATTTTGGTCTATGATTTATGACGCTTTTTTCTGTGGGTATTATATAAGAGGATGATGGGAGGATATATATGATCTGATTTTTTTTTTCTATACTGCTTTAAAAATCGTTTTTGCTGCATTGTTGGGCGAGATGTATTTATGACGTAATACCCTCTTTTGTCTTTTTTTATTGGTTTCGCTCTCTTTTTTTGCTCTTGGATATACGGTATTTATATTGTGTAATGGATGGGCGGGCGTTTTTGGCGTTGCTGGAGTTGAGTGGTGATTTCCTGGTTTGTATATAAGATGGATAATGAAGGTGGGTGGGGAGATTGTGAGGTTCAGAGAAAGAAAGGATGGATGAGTGGTGGTATTAATTATTGATTTATATTGATATTATCAATTATTACTCGGTAGTTGGATATTTGAAATGACAAGGTGGAGTTATATTTATACTTATACTTATACTTTGTAGTTCTTACTGTAATGCCTGTTGGCGTGTTAGTACGGAATTGAAGAAGGCACTTTACTGTAAGATCCTATAGTTAGGGTCATCTCGGCTAATACTGTATTACTGTAAGTTGTTGCGTTATGGATCCAGTACATGTATTCCTTCTACCTCCACTTTGGGGCTGGCGAGGGGAGGGGGTGGGTGGGTATGTTGGGGATATGAAGTTGGGGTGGGTCTATGGGGGAGAGTTTGGAATATGCTTGAGGCGTGTGATTGAGGGATTTTGGATGATGGGTTGTTGGGTTTTTAGACTTCTTTAGAGTTCTTTGGTGGCCTCGTGGGTGTGGATGAGAGGTTTGGGATTATAGATGTATCGGTAGTCAGGTCTCATAAGACAAAGACAAATAAATTCCTCATCTCCTAGATGGTATCACGGCTCTAAAATACTAGTGTCAGGTGTCAGTCAGGGAGCCCCTCTACCCCTTTAGTGTATATATATATTCTAGAGTGTATTTTGGGCAGTGGTGGGTTTTATGGATTGTACTGTACGTTGTGTAGTGGGTAGGGTAGTGGTGAGATTCTTTTGTGGCTGTCTGTTGATGTATAGTATAGATGCAACTCGATACTTTGAGAGTAGTGTGTGTGATTAGGAAACTTGAGATGGGCTTGGTGTTGATGTCTGTGTCTGGGGGATTCTGGGGTTTTCCTCTTCGTATTTGGTGTTCTCTTTTGTTTTGAGAGAGTGGGTGAGAGGCTACTGTGGTGTCTCTGGGCTTGTGGGGTCAAGGTGGTATAGGGGGTGTTGGGGGGAGTTTATGAAGGAGAAGTGATGGTGGTTTTTTGGTTCGTTGTCAACGTTCAACAAATGGAACCATATTCCATGGAATTCCAGGTAGAATATTCCATATAGAATACTTCTAGAGCACCTATAAAATAGAATGGAATACTTCTATCGATTAGTCTCTAGAATTCTAGGAGTTCTATAGAATTCTAGAGGATTTTCTAACTAATTAAAATTTAGTATTTAGAACTAGTTTTAAGTGAATAGTATAGATATATCTATTATTAGATTTAAGTGAATAGGGACCACCTATTTAGAGATTCTCTGTAGTACGACATGCGTAGTATATTTATGTGAAATTTCGATAGGACCTTATAGTACCTACGGAGTATAATACAGACTCTACAAGTAAAGCTAAATGAAAGCTTCCTATTGGTTACCTAGATCAGGGCGACTTTTTCCTAGTCATGTGATAAATTCTATCTAGAAATTCTATAAGTTCTATGGAATATAAGCCTCTGGAATAGAATATTTTTAGCCAAATCCTAAAAGGAATGGAATTATTCTAGAGGGGGGGTCTAGAATAGAAAGGAATTCTAGATACCGAACGTTGTTTGTTGTTGAGATGAGTGTTGAGCTTCTGAGGGCGGTGAAGAGAATGAGTTTGTATATTATAGTGTTTTGGGGGGGGAGAGGGGGGATTGTGTTCTTTGGGATTGAGACTTGTAGGCAGGTGTGATGAATTGAGTAAGATATGTTTCCTTCACTTTGAGGAAAGAGGTATGGTAGTGTTTTTGAAAGTGTCGATTGAATCAACACTCCCAGCATGAACTGACTGCATTCTTAACAGGCCAAATCTACACCCCAGTTAATCTGTTACAGATTGTCAGCTCCTGATGTTATATACTCTAGATGTTTATGTAATTTATTTGGTTTGAGAATCAAAGTTCAGATGGATTGATTTCTTGCCCAAAAAAGTATAGGTGTTCTCTTGCTTTGTCGTTAGTCTAGCGTTTGCATTTCTGGATCTTGTAAGCAAATCCAGTCACGTTTGTTATACCCACTTCCGTAGATTGGTTTCAGTACAATTTGACTTGATTCTGCACGTTATCTAAAAGCTGTAACATACAAAGATACACAGGTCTGTGTTCTTATCTTCAAGACTAACCATGTACTTCCATACTAGTCCATGACTCCATCTGCGTGACAGACCATACTCCGACAGACTCCATCTTTGCACCCCTCCTTGTGCTCTATGTTCAAGGCGGCGGACTCGAAGCGAACCCCACTCGTTTACACCGTAGACAATTCCCAGGTGCAGCCTCCCAAAAGACATATTGATACGAGTTTACACCATCAGGTTCCATCTTTACGAAACGCACACTCGTCACTCCATCCACTCCTCCCTGAACATCAGATCCCAAACCATTCTCAATATGTCCGATTAGCTCCTTCAGATTTATGTGTCGATGGTGTTTAATGGTAAGCTTCTCAAATCTGCGACTGGCAACCATGAGACATAGGGCCGTATATTGGACACAATTGAGTGTATTGAGCATGTTGGTAAAGTCGATTGTGATGCTTTGGAGGTTGTTCATAAGGAGCATCTTATCTCCGCGCATGTTGAAAAAAATGCATTCAACGAGCGATCGCTCATACTGATGTCTAGTTTGGAGAGTTAGTCAATTTCTGACTTTGTGGTTCTGGAGGTTGACGGGGGTGGGGGGGTAAAGGGTAGATGGAACTTACGGGACCATCATCAAGTGATTGATCTTTAATGTTTCTCTGAGTCGCTTGGCCTTCCACTCTTCCTGGGTATCCTCTGTAATCTCACCGTTGACTTGACGATAGAGAGTTATGATTCGCTTGAAGTAGTGGTTGAATGCGAAAGCCTTGATGATGGTGGGACATCTGTTGTCGGCTCTTCGTGCGAGGAGGATGCCCTTAAGCACGATCATGTCTTTGATCTCTGCTGGCATTGTTTCAAAGGTCAGAACCATTGCGTGCGCAACTGTAGGCGCTTGACGCCACTTCTGCGAGGAAGGAGTTGTGGTTGAGAAAGGAGTTGTGGTTGAGAAAGGTGCCGATAGCTGTCTGTGGTGGAGTTTGAAAAACAAGCAAAGTTCTCTTGGCAGGTCGACTACTCATTCCTAGCGCATGATAAGAAGTGCATAAACATTTTGGCCTTATTTATCATGGCAGGGCGGGATAGATCCTTAAGCCTCGCTAAGCTAAGCCGATTGGACAAAGACAGGAGAGCTTGTCACTTCACTCTAGATCTGGAGTACGGTCAGCTAATTGAGCTTTGTGCGAACCTTGACAATCAGCAATTCACTTGCCCATCCTTGTGCACTCTACAAAAACATAATCAGCTTTCAAAACCGTACTCCAGTGAATTAGAGAGAGAGGTAGCTTTGTTAATATCTATCTAGTGAACATATAGGAAGCAAAGAGGAATTTGCTGCTGGTTTAAAAAGCAGAATTAATTATGAGAGGAATCCAAGCGTTACTAATGATACCCTCCTGATCACGAGATATTCAGTACAAATTTCTTGATTGCGCAAGGTTCTTTGAGAAGAGGAGGGCAGCAGTAGGTAGCCTGAAGTACATCATGTATACCACTTCGCTTAGCATCCGCTTCAAGTCTTCCGCATTACAAATAGCTTCTGAGTTATTTCTTGTGTACTTTGACTTTTCTACGTTGGATCTGTCGATATCTCAAAGACGGGAGTTACAGGAATTACTTTGACATCCGAAGGCAGGAAAACTTGGAAGTTTTTATCAAGTGCGAAGCTGCTAGGGCATAGTTGCAGAAGAGACTTGATTAATGCCTTGAGAATTTGAGGATTGGTTGTGCTAAAGATTAGATAACGTGGGCTAAATTAACGGTTCAAGTCAAGGGAGTTAGCTGTTGGTGGCATGGTAGTCCCAACCTGCTTAAGCTCTCGCTGCGAGCTACTGACCTGGTCGACTGTGGAACTGTTGTCACGTTCCTCGTTGCTCTCTCATTAGTGCGGCTAATCCTTGGCAAACACGAACCAATAAAAACACCCAAACAACCCCACCGTCTTGTCTTCAAATATCAAAATAAGCAAGTGGTAGGCATCAATTAAAGCAAGTCTCTTGCCCACCTGGTGCGATGGATGCATCGGCCACACGGTGGGGTCAACTCTGGGAGTGCTCGTAGACTTGTACCTAGTCCTCCCCGGCGTGTTAGGGATCAGCTCTGGGTGCGCGGGTATAATTGTAGGTGGAATGGACCTAGGAAGCCAACTGCTGGCTCCCAGAGGGACAACTGCTGTCCCTCGACAACGTAATAAACCTTCTAGGTTTATCCTGAGATCCCAATGGGGGTCCATAAGGTTTTACCATTTTTTGGGTTGGTTTTCTTAATTTTTTGGGTTGGTGTTTTGGGAGACGCAGCTAAGCGAGTGGCTGGCGCGTGGTTATGACATTCACTTTCAGACGCGAGCTTCAACTACGAGTCCTGCTCCAACCTACACCAACAACCATATGTCAGGAACATAGTTGCGTGGTAGCTTCAGAAGAACTCTTCGGAGCAACGGCTATCTCATCTTTTATCAGTACCACAAACACCAGATATCACCATTCAATATTCGACGCCTCAATCGCGCCTACGAAAATACATCCAACGAGAAGCTCCACAAGTGTCAAAGGTGAGTAAGACCTCATGCCTCCCCTCTCCGCTCCCTGAGTTTCCTACCGTTCATTCTCAAACGACTCTGATCAAGCTCAACCCACCCATTGTTGATAACCAGATACGTACCTGGTCAGCGAATATCTGAGGCTAACAGTTCTTGTTATCTAGATGGATCAGATATGGGTAATCGACGATAAAACAGGAGAGAAGACCCTGATCTACAGCGCCTTGGATCCAAATGGACCTGCCCCGAGTGGAGAGACTCAGGCAGGCCTAGTTGGCACAGTGAGATGTGTGGTATGCAACAAAGATGCGATTCTACACTGCTCCCTTTGCAAATGCACAAGTTGGTGCTCCAAGGACTGTCTCGTCGGCAATAAGGCACTACACGACACCTTCTGCAAAGCCTTTGTCAAGTTTCTCGAAGCCGGTCCAAGACCCACGCCACGTGAAGACCGTTGCTACAAACTTGGTGCGCTTTTGCCAGAGGATTCTACAGAACCTCGGTATGTATGGGTCGAGGTTGAGTTGTTGAAGATGGATACAACAGATGGCAAGAAGATCGATGTGCATACCGTTTATCCGATCCTGCCATTGCTGCCAGATGGTATTGACAAGAGAACTCTGATGCCCGTGGACAAAATCAGAATTTGGCGCGACGAGAAGGCCGGTTTCGACTTCGGTAACACACTCTTTCTATGGTATAGGGACAACTTCTTGATGGACGGGTCGGTACAAAACAAGTATGTCGACAAGTTGCTTGAGGGTTGGAGAAAACGATACTGGAGAGGACCTTTGTTGGTACTGAGTGGGCTGGTAACCAAAACCGCTAGACAATTTCATTTCATGTTAGACGTCACCCCAAGTGATGTTCAACGTGCCGGTCAATACTTTGCGATAAATGGACCTTTCGCTGACGAACTTCCTGCTACTCCACTGCGGGAATTATTGAAAGATTGCTGGAGCACTTACGGACTGCGAGGCTCTCCAACTCAAGGACCTGTTAGTAAGTGTCCCTTTGGCTTTACAAATATCCGTTTGAATTCAACCACAATTTGCTTGTTTGAGACAACGACTGACAATCACTGGAACTAGCGAATGGCAGAGTTACTGTAGTCCCACCAGACTTCGATGTGAATTCCCTTTGACCATAACTGCTTGATTTCTACCTGACAAACGCTTTCTTACTACTTTGCCCGAGTATCAGCAACAAGTCAAAACATCACAACATACTGGGCTTTTTAAAGTGAGGCATTGAATGGGGCAATAGGGCTTCATGCCGAACTCTGAAGAAAGTTTCATCAGCTCCAAAAGCATATAGGGGATCCCAGTCACTTGGTATTTCTGGTGTTCCTTTCTACACGAGTTAAGAATTCTATCTCGTTTACTGGTTCGTCTGGAGATGGAAGGACTTCCTCAAAGCATCACAGTGTAGTGGAAGTAGTCGTTTCATTTACTTTGTAACTCTACACGACCTAGCAGGTCTAGAGTTAGTCCCAGACTAGGAAAAGTCTCTATTCGTAATTTCAAATCAGTTTTCATCTCAGCCAAAACCTTGTTCATGAAATCGCTATGAATATACAGAGAAAAGTGATACTATATTCTGATCTATGGCAGTGAAGCCTTTGCTTGTTTTCGAACTACCAAGGTACCTAGGTAGGTAGGTAGCTATTCTTTTAACCGTACAAAGCCACAAAAATATATTCTCTTGTTATATAGATAGCGCAGTTGATCCTTGAAATCTCCGAAACTCAGCTCAGCAATACCAGCAACTTAAAGTATAAGGGCGAGATAAAGTTTTGCTACAAAAGACACTGGGCAGCTCCACCCATCAGAAAGATGAGACTTTTTGATATGACGGTGGTATACCGCAGAATTTTGCGCATTTAGCTAGCTATACGCTGATCCTCACCGGCACCTGAAAGAATGATCTAGAATACTTTGCGAATATTCCGTGGTAAAGTTTACAAGTTCGATGGCGTAAAGCGCGATATAAGGCCTACCAGAGACGTCGTTCTCGACGTTGAACATAAAAAGTCGTTGTACCTGTCTGCGGTCTTCCCACTTAATGGAATTCGAGTCCTACGGGCGGTTCCCTCATGGCCGAGAGTAGAATGCAAAATGTAAACAAGTACTGTGGAAGTGTGGCGTAGGTTTACAACGCAATGCAAGAATTTCTACAATTTGCCAGCACGTGGTCACATCGAGGTTGGCGGTTTTACCGTGAAAACTTCCCATCACCCGCTCATGATTCAGCGTTCTTTACCGCTCCCAGGGCACTCTTTGAGATAAAAACCCTCGAAATAGTATTCTACACAAGTGGCGATTGACAATCACTGGTTTCCCGAGTTTGACAAGCGCAAATTAATGATCCAATTGCTATTGGTGGACAAAATCGATCATGAATTTTGATAAGATGTCTATCTAATAACCTTTAGCTCTAGACAAAAAGTAACTTCAGTCCTATCGAGAATGTCGGAAACGATATCTCGAGAGACGGCTCGAATGTTCTACAAAAATTAGAGTAACTTAATATAACTTGTATTGTCCTGTCTAACCAAACCGCGAAAAGTATGAGCCCTTTTGAGAAGTGACGACACTGACGAAGTCCAACGTTTTTCCCACCTCGGAAGCGGTTTATACCAGCCTACGATAAATTGTAAACTGAGAGAAGTCAGTGTACACATAGTAGCTAAAATACATGGAAGGGAAGATTATCAAAATACTATCCAAAACACACGTATATCATCGTTGTCATGCAGTAATTCTTCCGTCGTATCGGCATGGCAATGCCGTATTTCTCCCGTACTTTCATATTGCAGTAGCCCCTTACTATGTACTCTCGTATTGCAGTAACCACCACTTTGCAGGGAGACTTGCCAGCAACAAGCCGGTGCTCGCGTCTTTCCTCGCTAAGCTAATGCACGTCCATTGGGGGTTTTGGCCGTATTTGGAAGGTGGAAAATCAAGCGAGAACCGAACTGAGTCTTCCTCCAACTCTTGTCTTGACTTGGTGATTATTGAAGCTTCTTCTATTGGGAAAGCATTAGTGACCACTGACCAACGCTCCGTTGGAGCTACCAAATATTCCAACCAATGAGGACTTTCTTGGCCATGGAGAGAAAATCAATGCTCTTCGCACCTCTACATAATAAATTGAATAAATCCCACAGTAGATTCCAGTACCAATGATCCAGTGTGCCACAAATAGAACCCGTCACCACCGTCACAGAACGCATTCTCTTCAGAATAAATGGCTAGGTGCGCGGACTTGCGACATTCTAAAACCCCCAACATTAAGTTGAGGCAGCAGCAAAACGGGTGTCCCCGAAACCCTGTATCACACCACAGTGCAACACTAGCAAGATGGCAAACTTAATTACTCCCGCCAAACTTCAACCACACTTGCCCTTGCAATTCCGTCACAGTCAAAGATTGACTCTGTTGTCATCCAAGATGCACACGGAAATAATTATACAGCTTAAACAGCTTACACAGGTTGCGCTGATTCCTCTGGCAATCTAATATTTAGAAGAGCAATCTCGTTCTTCACATCAGAGTAAGAAGAAGTAGATAGATGGCTACATTAAGAAACCTTAATCTGACCAATAAGTCTTTTTCTCTACAGTTTTCTCCTCGCGGAGGGCGGGAGTATAATACTTCATTGTACTCTACATGTAAGCATAAACTTTAATTTTAGCCTAATCCTTAAACGCCCATCATTGCTTAGGGAAGGGCTCAGTTTTGCCACAAAAATTACTGGGGATAACCTTGGAGTCGAGTCTATCTCAAGGCATCCCCCAAACTTGTTGCCAATCGAGATTATCTGGCTGCATGTACGGCACTGTATCTGGATTGCATATGCCTAAATGCCTGCGTTCTGACCTCATGTTAATTCACGAGAACGATTCAATCGAATACTTCAGAGTATTTCGGAGCAGCTTCTCTGACTCGTTTCTACGACGCCGAACACCTTACAAGTTCCCACGAAATAAAGCTTGATAGCTAATTACATGGTACCACCAGGTACTGAAGCTTAGCGTAAGCGGTGATGAGACCATGTTCCAATGAATATAGATCCTAATGCTGGGATCCAGCATCAACGCAAGGTAGTAGGCGGCCACAGGAATATAATTCCTCAGGTTTCCCTACATTCCTTCTCTTTTTACATCTCCTCTGCATCACATCAAATTGTTGATTCCAAAGCTGGTGGCACCAGGTACTTCTACTTGTCTCATTTTCTCTTCGGGATGGGGTTCAAGATATTCCGACTGACCAGGGCTGTCGTTATAACCTGGGCTTTCATTTCTTCCGCCAGCGCAGCCATCTCAGAATCCGGAAAAACTGTTGTTGTAGATGGAATCAGGTACCATGTTGCTTCTGACGCAGTTTCAGTCATTGGCGCTTCAGCGGATATGCTAAGCAGAGCCTCTACGGCAGGAGTAGATTTGATTCCATTATCTATCATCTCGGATTCTTCAATTTCCTTCACTGCCAGTATATTGCAGTCAACTGTGGACTATTATACCAAGTCAGATGATGTTTTTAACAACGGATTTTTACAGTGTATGACCTTGTCCTGTCATTTTGATTTTGTGCATTAATTGGCCTTCCAGCAATCTATTTGAAACATACGGGTCCGTCGCCAGCAGCGATTCAGTATCCCCTTGATTCCGTTCTCGGTCAATATGGAACAAAATTGTTTATGGTCTCACGCGAATATCAGTCCTCTGTCCAGGGACTAGAACAGCCAATCACTGATTTGCAGAAAGACATTCCCTCTGGTCCATATTTCATGTCTGCCAAAACTGGAAATGTATATCGTGCATACAGATTATACTCTGATACTTACCAGGCTTTCACTGAAGGATTGAAGGAAAACGGAGATGGAATTTATTCGGTTCTCAACACCGCTGTTGACCGATCTAAAACTTCTACCATTGGCGTTCCCTCACGAATTTATTCCACCAAGACTGATGCGCAGCCGCTTGCGGGCATTCGACTTGGTGTCAAAGATATTTATGACATTGCCGGTGTGAAGACTGGAGGCGGAAGTAGAGCTTACTATGGTTTATATCCAGAAAAAAACGTCACTGCCATCACTGTCCAGCGTTTGATTGATACTGGTGCCGTGATTGTAGGGAAAATGGTGACTACTCAATTTGCAAGAGGGAATGATTGGGTAGACTATCCCGCTTCCTGGAACGTGCGTGGTAATAGTTAATCTCATACACCCAACATAATTTCCTAGAGTTGGAAGTGCTAACTCACTGTTTTTAGGAGATGGATATCAAGACCCTATTGGCTCATCTACAGGCCCAGCAGCAGGAATTGCCGGTTATGATTGGTTAGATATAACCCTCGGAACAGATACAGGCGGATCAATCCGCGGGCCCGCCAGTCTATACGGAGCTTTTGGCAATCGTCCATCATTTGGGCTCGTTTCTCTTGAGGGCGTTATACCGCTCTCGACAAATTTTGATACTCCTGGTTTTATTACTCGAGATCCAGTCCTCTGGCATTCAGCAGCAAAGATATTTTATTTTATTTTATTGCTATTTAACGTCAAGCGGAGTCTAGCTCGCGTGGGCTAGGTCCTAGAAGAGTCCCAATATGGGCAAATGACGCTAGGGGGGTGCCCTAGGCTACAGGGGGTGTAAAAGAAGAGACGCTAATTTACAAGAGACAGTTTAAAGAGAAGCCCCACTTTCGGGACAGCCCTTATCCTTAATTAGTTTTGAGAACCAGGGTACAACAAAAAGAAATACATAAATCAAAGAAAGAAAGAAAAGTAGGCCAGCCTATCTAGGTAGACAAATCTTAGTGAAGAATCTAGTCTTAAAGTAGACCTTATTAAATAGCTCCTCGCAGCCGGGGCCGAAGAGCAGCTGAGGGTTCCTCTGAGCTTCTGCTAGTAGCCTATGGGCTACGTTGTTTGCTAGCCTACAAAAGAGTAGGTGGAATTGAGACTTAGCCTTCTTACACTTACAATCCCCTGAGGTAAGTAATGCGTCGAAGTGAAAG